ACACAATGAATACAATTTTCAAAATCGTACCATATTGCAAAGATTTAGATGCTAAAAGGTTGAACTATTAAAAACAAAAAAACAAGAAAGAATTGAAATTTAATTATTTACATACATTCCTGTTTATGAATCTTTTCCGAAAATTTAGAATATAATATAAATAAACACAAACGTCAAGTATTCACTGATGGACATTTTATTTATCAAATCAATCTCTTCTAAAACTCTAACTTTCCATTATATTAATATATTGCTATACAAAATATAAGCAGAGACTTATAAATCCATACTAAAACTCTATACAACAATTAACGTAGTAATTAATTTTTTTTATGATTATTTAAGGAATGACTGTAATATTTTTTCTGTCTATGAAGAAATAACATAAAAAATGTGGTGCACACTGAATAACACGCGTAGCGTGTTATTTTAAAGTGTGCACCACATTTTTTATGTTATTTCGAATAGACAGAAAAAATATTACAGTCATTTCTTATAATTTAATTCTAAATTCCATTTTAAACCATACTGGTAGTAAACCATGAAAAAACGTTGATGACGTCACGATCACATGACAAAATTATGTCTATGAGCTGATAAACAAAACAACGTCAGCCAATCAGAAGACGCGTTACATCCAAAATTAAATTATTGTAAAATATTAATTACGTTTTTTGTGGGACGCAAGGATTTAAAATCCTTGTGAATTAAAACCATGCAAGTATATTTTTCATTCACTACCGTTTAAAATTTAGATACTAATTTATGCATACGCATCCCTGTCGCAGTCATTGGTGCTCATATGTTGTATATAATTTTCATAAATGTATTCACTGTTCAAACCTGTGGGACATAATACACGTATATATAACATTTTTAATTATATTCTATTACGGATAAATTTAGTATTAGTTTACACTTAATAATTTTAATGAATATTCTCTTGGACTGGTAGTATCTTTTAATGAAATTAAATATTTTTGACAGAAAAATCCTAATGTTAATCATCTTTCTGCTTTCCGACCACTGTGTTTCCGACCTTAGATAAATATTTATAACAGAAATATCTTTTTGTTAATTTTCTTCATGCTTTCCGACATTTTCCCAGGCTATGATTGAAATACAAAATATCACGTGATAATCGTTCAGAAATAATCAGTTTATTCTGGGACATTATATATTAATAAACTATTCCCAGGTTTATTGTCACAATGCATAACAGCACGCTGTATTAAAATGACATACACAACACGTACAGGTGCCGTCTCAAAGCATGAATTATATAATTGTGTTATCATTATACTTGATATTTAATAAACAATCGCATTATTAAAAACACATATGTTTGGTCAAAAGGCAAATAGGTTCTAACATATAAATGATTTTTTGACTGCAACCTAGTCTTTATTTCTTTACTATTGGATTTTACAAATGAACTTTGATCGTTGAAACATAAAATATCACGTGGTAGCCTATCCATAGAGGGCCTGTATCAAAAACATGGATAACTACCCGATCTCCCATACAGACAGAGTTTCTCCCATACAGACAGAGTTGTCGTCCTTTCTTCCTCAATCTCAAGATTACACATTATAATATACTGTACACTTTTTAAAACAAACAAAGCATTTTGTCAGCATGCTGCATTGTTTTACTGTTAAAACAGTTTTACAATAATCCGTTTCCTACAATAACAATAAATGTATTTCCATAATAAACTGCCGAAACTAAATTAATTTTACCAGTGAACGTGTTCATGAAATCCGATGAATTTGAAATGTTTCCAAGTTATTAAAAATCGCAAAAAAAAAACACCAAACAAACAAATATTAGGAACCTGAGTTCATGCATTACATTCCGAGTCTACAGCCGGCATGCCTCTGACATCTACTTCAGTCATCAGTAATCAGAAATGGACTGGACGAAATTTACCTACCGAGAAGTGAAAATCAGAAATTTCTTGATTGCCAAGTTTTGTACCCAAACCATAAACAGAACTTGAACGGAAAGTTAAGTATTTTTTAGTTGATACATGTTCTAATTTGTTTGATGTAATGGAATATGGTGCATAAAACGTGCCAGATACAAGCAGATGTACGATATTTAAATATTCGATCTTATCCGTTTTTTGGGGAAAATAAGAATAGAATTGCAAAATAGGTAACCACTGTAATATCGAGTGGATAAGAGCAAAAACACATCAAACAAGCAAAAAAAAAGTTAAAATATTAAAGAATTTTCACTAATGATAATGTATTTGCGTGTACCGATTAATGGTTTATACAGTTGGTAATGTAATTTAGGTTCAGGGTTAAACAAGAGACACTTCATCGATTCCGTATAACAGAACACCTCATCACGCCGCCGGGAATATTTCATGAACTGCTTTCAAAAAGAGAAACGGGACATGTGTCACTGAAAGAGGAGGAAGTGCTGACACTTCCGGAACACCTGCGTTCATACAAGTTTTTGTCGGGGCTAGTATCCTTTAGTTTGTTGTTTAAGTCTTTTTTTAGTGTTGTTTATCAGTTGGCATTTTTTTTTCTTTTGTTTATATAATGTTGTTTTTCTCATTGTTTTTTTTGTTCCCTTGGTATTATTCCTATTTTTATACACATCTTGATTGTATTTTTGCATCAGACAGGACAGTGGGAGAAAGAGGGAAAAAAAATGATAAACACTTCTATCATATTATGTCAAATGAGTATGTCATTATACAAATTAGACAAATTAGAAGATCTGGTAAGATTGCTAATGAATCAACTATCCACCAGAAACCAAATGACTTAGATGGAAGCAACTATAGGTATTTTTATGTCCTTCACCAATAAGGAAAACTCATACCGTAGATTGACTTATAAAAAAAACCGACACAACAAATTTTAACTCGATAATTCAAAGAAGAAAACCAACGGCCTGAGTTGTGTACAAAAAATAAACGAAAATCAAATATGATAGACACCGATCAACGGCAACAACTGCATTACAACCTCCTGACTTGGGACAGGCATATAACGAATTGGACTGGGCGCTCACCCCTCTCTTTACCTGGCGCAGTGTGGTGTAACAGCACCACAAAATAACAAAATGTAAAACTCAGTTAAGAAGGGCTTGACTCATAAGATCGGTACGAGTCACAATAAAAATCATCAAAGACACAAATAAAGAATCTAACATAGAGAAATTGCAGTTCTTGAAAGCTAGTCAATATCTAAAATAAGAAGTTGTGATTTGATTGCCAATGAGACTATCCACCCAAGTTCAAATGACTTGCATTGTATAATGCCAATGTTTACTTTTGTTAATGTTATTACTTCCACTGGGTCGATATATCTGCTGGTGGACTGTTAGTCCCCGAGGGTATCACCAGCCCAGGAGCCAGTATTTTGGAACTGGCATGAACATACGGATTTTCTGTTATTAAAATTTGTTATTACAAAATTTTAGAAATTATTTCAAATTAAGGAATATATCTCCCTCATGCAAAGCTCTGATTCCTTGCCCAGATTTGGCTATACTTTTTTTGGGACCTTTTTGGTTCATAGCTCTTCATTTTTTTAATAAGCTTTAGATTTTCAAATACTTTTCCTCGATCGTCACTGAAGAGACATTCATTGTCGAAATGCGCATCTGGTGCAGAAAAATTGGTACCGTTAATGTTATTTTGAATAAACCGAGTTATCCTAGACTAAACTATTGATAAGTATACATCCGACGTATTTAGAACAAAGACGTAATAAATAGTCCGAGAGAAGCATGAACTCGTGCAATGTCAATATATATTTAAAAAATACATAAGATAAAAAAGTATATAAGCATTGACAGGATGCAGGACCGTAAGGGTTCATAAATGTTGTATTTGGTATACTGTTGTTTGTCTTTATGTCGATTTCGTTTTTTTTTGCCATGGCGTTGTCCGTTTATTTTCGACTTATGAGTTTGAATGTTCCTTAGGTGTTTTTCGCCACTTTTGTGTAACAATATATATCTAGTTATGTTTTATTACCGATAAAGACAATATTCAAAGACCTAACTACAGTGCTAAAATCATATCCTTAAAGGGGCATTAGCTGTCAAATTCATGTTCACCGATTTGACTCAAATGCTCATATTTGATTTATAACATACTAAAACGTATATCCAAATTAAAAAAGGCTAAAATAAACAATTAACAATGCATGGACTCGATAATATGTATCAACATTCCGTGTGTATTTTTGTCTAGACGTCATCTAATTAACCATCGAGATGACCTCCGAAGACTGCCAACGGTCATATAATCCGATATAAACATAAATATAAATATAAACAGATAGCGACCACGTGCAATTGGATTTTTCTATGTCTGTTTGATTTCATACTGTAGGTTAAAAAGTGTGTTTATCATCGTTTTTTCCTGTATAAGAATGAATTTTTGTCGATAGAATCAGTCAACCAAATGGTTCATTCTTGTTTCACTTTTAATGTTGACATTCTTTTTCCTTTTAATAGCTCAATACACGCGTAACCCATCTCCAGCTAAGGGGTTAAATTGGAGGTCACATGAATACGGATTCAATGAGGTCGAATTATTCACTTGCAAGTGAATAATTCATCAGCGATTTATTTTTTTTTAGCTTATTTTGACAAAATTGAAGCAAATTGCTGCTTAAAGCTATATCACTTTCATTAATAATTGAACAACAGAAATCATATTTTATTTTTTTATATATATCTCGTAGCTAATGCCCCTTTAATTAAAGAATAAGTTTATTCAAAGAACCAATACGCTACATCGTTCGTCTATAATCTACGGGCAGGATCTATAAACAACATTACATTAAGATTTGCCTCCGTTTTTGTTACCTGTTGTATTACAGAGAAGTACTTTTCCTGTGATTAAATTAAAATGAGAGGATTTATTTATACCCATATATCTTTTATTAATATTGGTATTTTGTCTGGAAATTTTCGGTTGACGTATCAGTTCATATTTCTATTAATTATAAAATACTAATTCATCAAAGTTCACAAAGCTTTATAGTAATTATCAAAAATAGTTAAGATAATAATTGAAAAAAGTGCATGTATCGTTCAATTTCATATGCCGCTTAATATGCAATAATTATTTTACCTAAAAAGTTAATCAGGGGGTTTACCGTTAATGATATGACAATTTAAAACAATGAGCAGGTGTTTAAATCTAAAACATAAAAATAAATTATGACAACATATAGATGGCATACTTGATTGTAAATTAGGTTTTGGAAAATCCAATCAAAATAATTTCATTTGTTTTAATAATGAATTCGTGATTTACAAAAATTCAATCTCCCTTCACAACAAACGATAAATCAAAACGCAGTTTTTCGTCCGACCTTCTCCCAATCCCCACCGCAGAAAATAGTCAAAGCCGACAAATATACAAGTAGATACATTAAATGGATATTTGTTTTTATTTCTAGATTCACCGGTTTGACTTCTTCTGTTTCCATGCTGCTGCCTCTCCAAAATTACAGGTTGATATCTTATGTGGCAATGATCGAAGGCTTTTATTAACAAGATTTTGTTTATCTCGTTTTGGCTGTTGAGTTCTCGGTGTCTCATTTGAAATATCTAGTTGATACTGTCTTGGCTGCTCCTTTGGATGATGAGTTTTTATTTCGGTTTGTAAGGAAACGACAGCCTTTGTGAGTGCTACAACATTTTCCGATAGTTTTTCACACGTTTTCTGTGTTTGATCCTGTTTTCTTTCTAAATTTTGTATAGCTCTTGTATGTTCAGTTTCTAGTTTTCTTTTTTCTTCCATTACCCTCTTTAACGCACCATCTTTCAGTGTAATTTGTTTCTGTAAATAGTCAATAGTTTGTTTTAGTCTACTGATTTCCCTTTCCATATCCTGGTTCTTCATTTCCAATATTCGTATTTCTCCTCCTTGATTATTGGCCTTTTCTTTCAACTTTTTTAGATCTTCCAGTGCTCTAATTTGCTGGTCATGCACTGTTGACAGCTTCTCTTTTTTATTATTTAACTTTTCTTCTAATTCAATAACTCGTAATTTTGCGTCATCCATACCTTTTTTCTTCTCCTCGAAGAGATTTTCTGTCGACAGAAACTTTCTATCACTGTTGGCTGTAAACATAAAATTAAAATAATCTAATATCTTGGTTTAACGGTAACATATAATTTGAGCATTTAGCTGTTTCAGTTGGAATCAATCGAAAATCCAGACGTAAATAAAAGTTATACTTGCAAAATTATAAACGTTACGATCGTATTCAATAGAATTCTACCAGACTCCTGGGTTTATTTTACATATTTAAGTATATAGTATATCATATAAAACAGTCTTCTTACCAATTTTCTTTGCTGCCTTTTCAATTTCTTCTACAATATGGTTGTTTCCAGAAAGAGACAGAGCATCCAAAAAATTATTATAGTTGTTTCCACCTCTTCTTATCAATATTTCTAGGAGAATTTGACACTGTTCATCGCTGTCCTTTTCTAGTCCTATTTTACTCCTTTCGTCCCAAGTCAGACTGTCATCTTTAAGTAAATTGTCCATGACTTCACCAATGTTTGTGATATTTTTCTTTATAAAAAGATTTGATTTTGAAAGTGCTGTTTTATAGATTGATTCCATTATTCAAAAGCGTGGGCACCAACCGCTGTTAATATGGTAATAAACCCGCACATATAATATTTATTAGATTAGACACAATGAAGTAATAGCTTGTTTTATCTTAATTAGGTATTTAAATCTTAATTATAGCACATGTCATCTGCAAGTCATTCGAGAAGAAAAGAAGTTTTAAATGTAAAGTTTCAGTATATTACGGAATAGCAAAAATTTGTAAAGGCCTTTTAAAATTCACTTCATGTACATAAAAAACACAAAACGTACCAAAGATACCATGCATATAAAAGGGTAATCCCTTAACTTGTATTTCTAACAGTTCGAAAGAAAGAAATGTTTAAACTTGAATATTTGTTTAGAAAGCACATAAAAATCGGCGAAAAACGTTTTAAAATTTGTCTTAAAAAACCTCAAATCTCCAATTTCAAATCCATAGATTTTTCGTAAAAAAACTATATGTTGTTTGTACATAAATTTCCGTTTTAATGACGTAGAAAACAAAAGGATTACCGACTTCGTTTAACGGTTTACATCATTCAAAGTAGTATAGGTTAATTAATACCACAAAACGTCGAAATAACCGTAACGTCATCGCGCTGATGGCCGTAAAAAGTAAAATCACAAAAATACTGAACTCCGAGGAAAATTCAATCGGAAAGTCCCTAATCACATGGCAAAATCAAATGACAAAAAACATCAAACGAATGGACAACAACTGTCATATTCCTGATTGGTCCATTTTTTACGTTTTTAAATACCAACTAGGTTTCTGATTGGTTGATACACCAAAAACGAAGTAGGTGACCACATGATTATTTTATATCATTAAAAAGGAAATTTATGTATCAAAAAAATACAGCTTTTTAAGAAAAATCTATGAAATTGCTGCTTTGTTGATTTTAAGACAAAGTTAAGAACGTTTTCGCTTATTTTTTGTGCTTTCTATACAAATGTTAACCTATTTTGAAATAATTCAGTCAGTTATAATTCAGACAATGAAAGAGATAAATGTATTATCTTTTCGATTGTCAGTTATAGTTCAACGAACCAAAGTTGTATGCAAAATTTTACCAAAATCTGTGACATAGCCCATGTACTGTTACTTGACCTTAAACACGCCTTGAAATTTCCCTAATCTCAAAAAAACCCTGTGGTAGTTTCTAGTTGCGATCATCGAGTGGATTTGAAATTGAGAAATACAGAGATACATAAGACTTATAAAAATCTATTCCATAGGCTCTTAACCCTTTCTTTAAAGGGACATCAGCTACGAGAAATAAAAAAAATATCATGTGATTTTTTTTTTTTGTTCAATCATTAATGAAAGTGAAAAAGTGAAATAATAATTCGCTTTTAGCAGCCAGTTTGCTTCAATTTTGTCAAAATAAGCTAAGAAACATCGCCGATGAATTATTCACTTGCAAGTGAATGATTCGACCTCATTGAATCCGTATTCATGTGACCTTCAGTTTAACCCCTTAGCTAGAGATGGGTTACGCATGAATTAGGCGTGTTCAGTTATTAAAAGGAAAAGAATGTCAACACTGAAAGTGAAACAAGGGTAAACCATTTGATTGACTGATTCGATCCACAAAAACTCATTCTTATACAGGTTAAAGGGGCACTAACTGTCAAATTCATGTTCACCGATTTGACTTAAATTCTCATATTAGATTTATAACAATGTAAAACATTTATCCAAATTATAAAAAAGTCTAAAATAAACAATTCACAGGGCATGGGCTCGATAATATGTAGCTTCGTTTCGTGTGTATTTTAGTCTAGATGCCATCTAATTAACTATCGAGATGACCCCGAAAATAACCGACGGTCACATAACACGTTATAATTATAAACATAAATATAAATAAATATATGGACCTCGTGAAAATGGATTTTTCTATGTTTGTTTGATTTCAATTTTAAGGTTAAAAAAATAAGTTAATTTTCGATTTTACCTGTATAAGAATGATTTTTTGAGGATCGAATCAGTCAATCAAATGATTTACCTTTGTTTCACATTCAATGTTGGCATTCTTTTCTTTTGATAGCCTAACACGCATCAATCATGCATAATCCATCTCTAGCTAAGGGGTTAAATTGAAGTTCACATAAGTACGGATTCAAGGAGGTCGAATTATTCACTTGCAAGTGAATAATTCATCATCTATGTTTCTTAGCTTATTTTGACCAAATTGAACCATACTGGCTGCTAATAACGAATTATTATTTCACTATTTCACTTTCATTAATGAATGAACAAAAAAAGTCATAGTTTAATTTTTTTATGTATCTCATAGCTAGTGCCCCTTTAAAATGATGATTAACATATATTTTTAATCTTTAATATGAAATCAAACAGACCTAGAAAAATCTAATTGCACGTGTTCGCTATCTATTCATATCTATATTTATTTTTATATCGGATTATATGACCGTCGGCAGTCTTCGGAAGTCACCTCGATGGTAAATTAGATGGAGTCTAGACTAAAATACACACGAAATGCTGATACATATTATCGAGCCCATGCATAGTAAATTGTTAATTTTGGACTTTTTATAATTTAGATCTACGTTTTAGTATGTTATAAATCAAATATGAGAATTTGAGTCAAATCGGTGAACATGAATTTGACAGCTAATGCCCCTTTAAAATCAAACCATAGAATGTAACGCAATGTCAATTTAATGAACGAAATGACATAAATTATTCTGACCGTTGAATTGAAAGATAGACAAATGCTTGGTAATCATCGTTTCGTTAACTTTTCGTGACATTCTTTAAAAATAATTCTAAATAAAGGGTTTCAAAGCTTTCATTTGGAAAAGGGATTTTGAATCCTACCTCTTTGTTACTCCGCTTCGACGACATTTGAAAACACAACCCGGAACTTCCTCAGGTTTTCTTATGCTCGACATTTGGTTGAGGTTAGGAAGTTGATTTTACGGCCAGGTGATTGATATTCCGGTTAGGATTAAATGTGATCTCTCATTCTAACTGTATACCTTTTCTGTTAGAAATATCAGCTATGGGTAAATTTCATACCCAACAAAACACCATCCGGCTGATATTTTAACAATGCCTGAGGTTATTTAGACAACATATTCTGTGAAATAATCAAATGTGTTCTAAATGTACAAAAGGATTTTATCCACCTGAACATACTCTGACTAAACCCAACGTTAAAAGTCTCAACGAAATACTAATATTTCAGGGTTTATTGTGATTTATCAGATAGTTTGGTATATAAAAATAATGTTGTATGATGGCCAATGAGACACCTTTCCACCAGAGACCTAATGACGTAGAAGTTAGTGCCTCACCATAACAAATGTAAAACAATTCGAACAAGCTAAAATACTCCAAAATAAGAGAATTTTCAAAGCAGTCTGTAATATTTTCAACTAAAACTCGACATTCAACCGACAAGTCTACAAGTCTAAAAAAGAGAGGCGAAAGATACCAAATGACATTCAAACTCATATTTACGTCGAAAATAAACCGACAACGCCCGGGCAAAAAACGAAAAACACAAAAGGACAAACAACAGTATACAAAACACAACATAGAAAACTAAAAACTAAACAACACGAACTCCAACAAAAGCCGGGAGTGATCTCAGATATTAGACTTTTATTTTTCTGAAATATAATCAAAGTTTAAATTATTTGAAACTCTAATCAAACCATTATAACTTATGAATCGGTATATTGGGATAAGCAATTATTCACTAGAAGATTTGAAAGGTGAACACCTTCCTTTCGAAAAAAATGCGCAATCAATTACCAGTCTGTCGTTTGTATATAACAACGTTATAGAAATAAAATATTATTCAAGGTTAGCAACTTCCTCCTATAGGACATCTTAGATTCTAAAGTGGTACAGGGTAATTATAATGTTAGTTTGCATTACTAGTAATAGATAATGCAAAGTACAAAATAAATATTCAAAACTACTTATCAGTTAACGACATTCCCAAATTTATTTCAGATTATCGCAAACAAATCCGTCGAAGACCACATGTACGTTTTTTTAAACATGCTGATTCAAAATTATATAAAAGTATTTCATTACAAAAATAATGAAATGTGTCCTTCAATAATCTTTAGAAAAAGAATCAACCAAATTGTCTGAATTTCCGATAATGCTTTACTGGTAGCCTTTTCGAATTTTTTAAAGTTTCTGATAAGAAAAATGTCCGATTGGCTCCAAATTCATATATATGAATAAAAAAGGCAATAGTAGTATACCGCTGTTCAATAGTCATTAATCGAATTAACTGAATCAAATCCGGGTCACAAACCAAAACTGAGGGAAACACATCAACTGAAAGTGAGTCATCAAGTGAACAATAATGCAAAGTTTCTGTTCATTTAGTTCAGTTGTTTCAGGGAAGAAGATGATCAAATGCTTTATCACTGATGTGGAAAATCAGTGATAGCAGCCATTTTGAATCTGAGATCCCCATCAATATCACAGATATGCAGAACCACAATCTGAACATATCAAAAAATGATAACAAAAATACTTAGCTCCAAGGTAAATTCAAATAGGGGAAGTCCATAAAAACTGACAAAGCCAAATGCTCGACTATATCAATCAACGGCACGACTGGACAAGAGCTGTCATATTCCTTACTTAGTACAGGTATTTCCCGAAACTTAAACCTCCCACTGGTATGATAGTTGTATATGGTTAAATGTACAATCAAATTCAAAATCGTTTAAAAAAAAACATGTTATAAAAATGTCTTCACGTGTAGGGTTCAATTTCAAACGATGGCGGCAATGTTGAATTTCAAATATCGTCACTAAAACCTTAAATATGGACACCAATCATCCAATGAAAAATTCTTCCAAGTTTAGTTTCATTCAGTCCAGTCTATCTGAGAAGATTATCAAATGCAAAAACACTGATGCGCGAGATCTTGTAGATAAACCACAAATATGAAAGCCAATCATCCAATAAAAATCCGCCAAGCTTAGTCATTCAGACAGTTGCAACCTATCTATTTAACTTTCAAGATAATAGACAAAAAAATAAATTTTGTCAAAAATCGTCGTTTAAGGAGAGTTACTATCTAAGGAGTCACCAAATGGTTTTGGTCGTTTGTCATTCTTGTAGATTTTGTATTGCTGATCATTTTTACTATTTACGCTGATTTTCAGAGATAACAGACAAAAGCATTAAAAGTAGCCAAAACAAATCTCAATTTAAAGGCGCATAGGGAGTCATCTGATAATTTAAGTGAACAAAAGAAGTAGGTAGATCTCGACATTCTGGGATTTTTGCCCTTGTCTGATTTTCTCTATCCATTATAGTTTTCAAGATATCATTAGAAAAGACAATGCATATATTGTACATTTTACCCTTATGTTCTATGTTTAGCCATGGTGGTCATATTTGTTGACTGACCAGAATAAAAAACACAAACTTTATACTTGATACATAGTCACATCAAACAGTAAAATAACAAAAATACCGAGCTCCAACGAAAATTCAAAACGGAAAGTCCTTTATCAAATGGCAAAATCAAAAGACCAAACACATCAAACGAATGGAAAACAACTGTCAAATATTGTAATTGGTTTTGTGGCTTCAGAGGAAAATATCTTTGTTAAAAAACAAAATTAGTCAAACTCGTCATTCAAGTGCGATAATTCCTTAAGGACTCATCCAATGGTATCGTTAATCTTTCACGGCGCATTTCTGAAAATTTTAGCAATTTATAGTTTCTATATCTATCTATTATAGTTTTTTAGCTAAATGTCAAACACATGAAAATTCGCAAAAAATCGTCTTTGCGCGGCATTAACACCTTTGGGAGTCATAAGGTAATTTTGGTGAAAATAAAGTAGGAAAATCTTGACATTCTGGTCCATTTTTCCTCCGTCAGATTTTCTCTAACTATTGTGGTTTTCAAGATATAAGAACAATTAATCCAATTTAACCTTCTGTTAAATTATTCTGAAACTTACTCATCTCTATTTCTAAGCTTGTTCTTTTAGCCGTTGGAGCCTGATGACGCGACCTTCCTTTGTTTTTAGTTTTTGTAAATTTCTAAGATTATTTACCAAAAATCCATTCCTTAATAAATGGAAGCGATGGATACATTTTTTTTTTTTTTATTTCTTAAATATTCACCAATCATCATCTCCATTTAAATAGCAAGACAATAATTAATGATCATCTCAAATGAAAAACACTACTTAGTTTTATCGATGCAAATTAGAATTCAATAAATGAAAATATATGAGAGCAAGGAGATGCGGAGTAAAAGTCAATGAGATGGCAAACCAACGAGCAAAAACCCCAAACGATGTCAGTTTTTACGCGAACTTAATTCAGATCATCGAGGTGTTCGCGTTGTTCTCCAGTCCGCAGCATCGCTAAAGTTACAGGTAGCCAATCCCCGTCGTCTCTGTCGGTTATTAAACTTCTTTGGTGGTGACGGTTTTTGAACTTCGTCTTGAATGTCTTTTATGGCTTGAGCTTTTTGATTCGGAACTTTAACTTCAGCTTGCAAAGGAAAATTCTTTGAAAAGTCTCTTGCAAAAGCGGTAAAATTTTCACATAACTTCTCGCATGTTTTTTGAGTAGCATCTTGTTTTCTTTCCAGATTTTGAATAGCCCTTAACTGCTCATTAGCAGTCTTTTTCTTTTCTTCCTCGACCCGCCTAAGTTGTTTCTGAATATTTTCAATAGTGATTTTCAATTTGTTTATCTCTTTTTCTAAGTCATGATTTTTCCTTTCTAAACTTTTTATTGTCAAATCTTTTTCACTATTTTTCTCTCTCTGTTTTCTGAGATCATCTAAAGCTCTACGCTGTTGGTCTCTAAGAAGCTTAAGTTTGTCGTTTTTATCCTCGAGTTCTAATGTCAGCTCATCAATACGTACTCTAAGATCCGTTATTGTTTTGTCCTTCTCGTCATCGGTATCTGATTCTGACATTTGTTTGTCGTCACCTGAAAGTAAATTTGTAATATGCACTAATTTGTGGCTATTTATTTTTGAATAAATATTATTATGAAATGCTAATTTGGAATCTGATGTTACCTCCATGGAGTTGTATTACAGCACCATCAAATAAAGATATATTCAGTCAACCAGTATAGAAATGTCGATTTTGATACAGGTATTGTATAAAATAAATCAGAAATCAGCTTTGTCAAAAAAAGAGGATATTTTATATGATTTGATTTGATTTATGGTGTTTTAACGCCACTTTTAAGCACCGCTTTTGGGCTATTTCGTGGCGGCCAGTTTTTATTGGTGGAGGAAGCCGGAGTGCCCAGAGAAAACCACAGACCTTCGATAGGAAAACTGACAATACTAGTCAATTAAGATTGGAGTCGAGTGCATCCGCACGAGCGGGGTTCGAACTCACAACCTCAGTGTTGACTGGCTAGTGATTACAGTAGTAACTACTTAAACCACTCGGCCACCGAGGCCCCTTATTTATAAGACATCTTCTGGAAAATTTTTATGTTACAACTAAACCAGGCAGATGCTTATATTAGAAAACGGAAGCAATAAGTTTGCTGACCTAATATCATTTAGTTCTATAGTTTTTTTCCATCTGAAATATAAAGATTGATCGATTTTTTTAATCTTTTTAAAAATTATTTTCCAAAAGGAACCAGTTTACTCTATGAAAAAATTTTTTTTTTTTTTATTCTTGATAATCTCAAGTATAATATTGTTACCTTTACGAAAGGAAAGAGCATCTTCAATTTCTTTCGCAATATGTTCATTACCAGTTGTCTTCAGTGAATCTAAGAATGTTTTATAGCATATCCCACCTCGTCTGACCAATATTTCCAGAAGATTCTGGCATTTGTCATCTGAAGATTTTTCGCTGCCAAACTGTATTCTTTCGTCCCACAGCAAACATCCCTCTTTTAATAGAATGTCAAGAATACGATCTATATTGGTCAAATTTTTCTTTATATAAAGATTGCATTTTGTAAGCGCGGTCTTTTGAGTTGGGTCCATGGTAAACCACAACTAACTTATAGGCTATACATATTATTGTACTGACAACTGTACAAAATATTCATATCTAGTTTCTGTTTTCCGGGGCGGATATACTTATCACTTGTTTGATTGCAATCAACACCCATTTAATTCTATTAATTAAAATATTTTTATAGTCTGCCATATACTTCTGTTACATTCTAATAATTAACAAAACAATTGGCGTATGTGCATATCACGTGACGTTTTCTTGAATGAAGTTACTTAACGATTATCTACCTACCTCAAAAGTTTGGTGATCGAAAAGTGATACGATTTGTAATATTTACAATCATTATAATAATAAATATTTAGAAGAGAATAGAAACGTTTTGTCATCACGTCTGTGGTTCCTAACCGTGTTATAATTGTATTGTCATACTATCAGAAATAGCAGTTCTTGGCAAGATCACACTTAATGTAAACTGGTATCATTTTATCTGTCGATGTTATCTTTGTTAAAAATGTTTTAACCGGGGAATAAAAGAAGTATTTAATACCTTTTTGTGGATTATTAACATGTTGAATTATGTTTTAGTTATAAATTAATATTTTGCATGTTTATAGGAGTAAAAATTTTCTGTGAATAAATTTAAGGGCCATCAGTCTTATTTTTGATATCTAAATGGAACTTTTCATCTGAAAAACCCAGATTTAGTTTTGAAATTCAGTTCAATTTCATGCAATAATACAATCCTGAGAATTGGAGTTGAATACGGAGTGGATTGGGTCGTCCGTTCGTAGAATAGTTATCTGATAACCTTTTATTGAGATACATAGATCGCTGCAAACAAATGAAAAGCCAATTAACATATCTTTCTGAAGCAAACTAAATTTAGAGTTATCCACTCGAGAATTCTTATAACAGAAAAGTCTCCAAAATTCAATGCTTGAGTGAAATACACAAAATGCCGTGAAATCCATTTCGGAGTTTTATTAGAGAAAGTGACTGGATGTTCCCCTGACCCAGCCTTATGCTACTCGACTGGGCTGAGGAAGGGAGGGCAATTGCACAGTCATAACTACAAAGGTACTAGCGATTAAACAGTTGTATGCTATTTGCACCTCTAAGAATGCAGTAAATTATCTTTAAGGGTCTAAATAAAATATTGAAAGGGTTCCCCTGTCCCAACCTTCCGGTGATTAACCCTCTAGAATCAAATTTAAAAATGTTAAAAGAGAGACGACAGATACCAAAGGGAATATTAAAGGTTGTATACTTACTTCCACAGCGCAGATTACATACAAACAGACAAACTAAATTTTGATGAACAGAATTTAATTGAAGTGAAAGTTTGATGATGATTGTTTTTTCATTATAAGTACCTGAGATAATAGAGTTAATGTGACATGGATTGTTATACTAGTATAAATGATTTGCAACAGCTTGATCGAGATTCCTATCTCTATCTAGTACCATTAAGTACGACATGTGTGTTTAGGCAAATAAACTCATCAAAGGTAACAGGCATGTAATTTTGTACGCAAGGCGCGCGTTTCGTCTACAAAAGACTCATCAGTGACGCACGAATTAAATAAAGTACGAAGTTGAAGAGCATTGAGGATCTAAAATTCCGAAAAGTTTTGTCAAATACAGCTAAAGTAATCTATTCCGTGTGTAGAAAATCCTTATTATTTCGAAAAATTCAAAGTTTTAAAAAACAGTTAATTTATAATTATGACCATATCAATGATAATTCATGACAACACAGAAGTGCTGACTACTTGGCTTGTCATACTCTCGGGGAAAGACCTCCACCGGCAGCGGCATCGACCCAGTGGTTGTAAATTAACTCATCACTGATACCAGGATTAAAATTTTGTACGCCAGACGCGCGTTTCGTATACAAAAGACTCAACGGTGACGCTCGAATAAAAAAATCAGAAAGCGTTTCACGAATCTAACGGGATTTATAGTGAAACGACCCGGTTCCTTACAGATTACATAACAACGTATATGTTTGAGAGGATTGGCATGTATGATTTATTCTATAAAAGCAGAACCTATGCCGTTTCTTGTTAAAATGATGTTTTCTATTTTAAAAAAAACTATTTATTAACTTATTCACTGCAATTTCATACACAATTAGCTACGTCTTTACATCTAACTTGGTACCTAGTATGAATATTTGTGACGTCATATAATTCCAGAATTGTTCTACTGTTGTGAGAATTGTCGCATTCAGAACTGCATACAAAATACGTTGGAACCAAATTTAGTTTCTCACTAAATAATACAAAATTTGGTGACTATGTTGAACGAATCTATCCCATCGAACTAGAAATAAAGGATACTACAGATACAGTTAAGTCTGCCTCATATCTTGACTTTCATCTAGAAATTGACAATGAGGGTCGGTTGAAAACAAAACTTTACGACAAAAGAGATGATTTCAGCTTCCCAATTGTGAACTTTCCATTTCTATGTAGCAACATTCCAGCAGCGCCTGCATACTGCAGGCAAGGGGCGAATTACATAGCAATGTAATGCATTATATTACAATTACTTTGACAAAACCATGCATTGAATTACAATTACAATTACAATTACATTCATTTATCAAAGTAATGCATTACATTACAATTGTAAATTTTATCATTGGGTGAATAGAAAAATCAAACATTTTGAAAAACAACACGAAGTCACAAAAGATTCTAGCATATGCAGTAACTGCTCCATGCATTGAATTTAAGTATACATGTAAACAGACTATTTTATTCGGCTATTACATTTTTAATTATTTAAACTTAATGTTGACTTTACTTTTACAAATATATTTTTTCGTTTTTTTTTTAATTTCAATCAAAATATTTAATTACTGAGAATTTCTTTCCTAATTATATAATAAATATAGAGCTTAATTAATGAACAATTGTCCAATTAATGAAAATATTGTTTGTAAAACAAACTTATTAGTGTTTTATAACAAACTTCAATAATCTTTTATTTAATTAAGACAATGTATTCTTTGATCTTATGACAACAATATAGTAATGCTTTTCAAATATCAATCTTTTTATGCAGGAAAATGTATGAAATAAAATGAAATAAAGAATGTATTCAAATAATTAATATATTCTTAGTTAATCAAGAAATCTTAAATTCTGCTTTAGTTAAATCTCCAACAATTTCTTAAAGATGAAGTATGTGAAAAAAGTAATGCCATGTAATGCAATGTAATGCATGAAATTACACAACTTTTTGCTAAAGTAATGCATTATATTACAATTACATGTAATGCAAAAATTGCTGCATTACACATTATATGCAATTACTTGGAAAAATGTAATGCATTACCATGCATTACAATTGCATTACCCCATGCCTGGCACACTGAGTATATATCTTCCAATTGATACGATATTCCCGGGCTTGTATTTCCTATCATGATTTCCTTGATAGAGGATTGCTGCTTACAAGGAAGCTATTAAACCAAGAGTTCCAAATGGTAAAGTTGAAATCATCCCTTCGTAAATTTTACGGACGCCATCACGAGTTGGTTGACCGTTATGGAATAATCGTTTCAAAGATGATATCGGATATGTTCCTTATGTTGTAACTACAATACCCTTCCCTTTTCATGAATGTGACCTACCGAATTAGACTATTTACCGGATTTGTAATAACATAAGCAACACGACGGGTGCCACATGTGGAGCAGGATCTGCTTACCCTTCCGGAACACCTGAGATCACCCCCAGTTTTTGGTGGGGTTCGTGTTGCTTAGTCTTTAGTTTTCTATGTTGTGTCATCTGTACTATTATTTGTCTGTTTGTCTTTTTATTTTTGGTCATGGCGTTGTCAGTATGTTTTCGATCTATGAGTTTGACTGTCCCTCTGGTATCTTTCTTCCCTCTTTTAATGCGATAAAAGTTTATGAAAGTGAGTCTGATACATTTAACCACTGGGTCGATACCGCTGTTGGTGGACGTTTCGTCCCCGAGGATATCACCAGTCCAGTATTCAGCACCTTTATGCTGACATGAAATATCATTGATATGTTCATTTTCTGTAAATTAACAGTATTATGAAATATTGAAATATACGAAGCAGTAAGGTTTTCTACCCCCATGTATATACTGTATCAACCGTGTTTGTCACAACTTTTCGAAATTTTCGGTTTTTAAAGCTCTACAACTTCAAATTTGTTTTTCATTCGAGTTCCACTGATGAGTCCTATGTAGACGAGTCGCGCGTCTGCCGTACAAAATTATAAGCATGGTTAATTTGATTTTTACGACAACTGGGTCGATGCCACTGCTGGTGACGTTTCGTCCCGGCCGAGGGTATTACCAGCCCAGTAGTCAGAACTTTTGTTTTGACATGAAATATGATTGATATGTTAATTTCCTCTAAATGTACCGTATATATATATATATATATATATATATATATATTGTTGAATTATTCGAAACAAGGTTTTTCTACCCCTAAGTATTTCATATTTATTCAATTTCAAGATATCTTGGAAAGTAAAAAAGTAAGTAAAGTATATAAGATATCTTGTATTCTATATGATATATCTTATTTGATTTGAAGTTAATAAGATATCTTATTACTGTGACTTGACTGTAAGTGTTGCTCTCAACCTATTGCAACTTATTCAAAATTCTGACCAAATTGCAATTTGTTTTATAAAACCAAACTGTTCAACTGGTCAGAAATTTGAACAAACTGCTGTAGAAAACCAGTCAAGTCGTGAAAGTGCAAGGTGTTACTGTGACTTGACTGTAAGTGTTGCTCTCAACCTATTGCAACTTATTCAAAATTCTGACCAAATTGCAATTTGTAATTTTCGATGGGAGATAATCAATTTTTCTTTCGAAAAGTCTACTGTATTCAAAAGAATAATGTTTTAGGTTATCTCCCTTGGAAACTTATTAACAACGTATTGTAATTTCACATATATTTTTCTGAATGTAAGATGTTTTAATTCAAATGATGTCTAATTCTTTGAATAAAGAAGACTTTTCGAAAGAAAAATTGTATGAAAGCTCAGTTTGGACATTTTTATAGCAATTCAAAATTACTACCCATCACCTTTAGCATGCCAATAATAATAAAATGTCTATACAAACTGTGTGACTAATTGTTCATAATAACATTTATGTGGAATTAA